AGTAGCATAAATCAGTTGCTTTTATTCCTTATGCTGTATAGCCTGAAAAGGGCTTCAATTTGATGATATAACAGATGTTGATACATTTTTGTCTATCTGTTCTTTTAAAGGGAAGAAAAGAATTTCTTTTCCGATGGCAGCCTTGCGCATCCTGGTCAGTATACACATATATTTAGTAGCTTAATTTAACAATTATAAACCTTAGTATTCACCTAAGTAACTACCCTTCCATTATTATTAGGGTAATTTTGACCTAAATGTTTATCACTTTCTCTCTTTCAAAAAAATAATGTTTTGTAAATAATGAGAAGTCGTCCTCCTTAAAAATGCTTTTTTATGGTTCTTAAATGTATTTTAAAATTTCAAAAATACTGATGGAGTATTGAAATAACAGTATAGGTGTGAACACGTTTTTAAAGTTTCATTTTCTTTTTTGTTTAGTTTTACAAATGGAAAATTTAGAAAGCTCAGTTTTTTCATTTGCACACGTGGGAGGCACTAAAAAGCGTCTTTCATCTGATTGGTCAAACAGCTTTATTTTCACGAAGAGTCATTACGGCACTGGCAGTATGCATGCAATTTAATAAAATGTGGTTGTGGACCACCACTCACTGTTAATTACATATGCCATCTTAAGAACTATGCACACCAGAAATATGTTGCTGGCACATAATTAGTGCTTCTGCAACTTGCACAGCATCTTCGGATGACACAAGTGATCGCAAGCCATCATGCTGACAGAGAGTTTTGTATATTGTTTCTTATTATTTTTATATTTAATAACATTAATTATGACTTTTATCCAATGTGAAGGAACTATTTTCATTGCAGTTATCAGTGGAAACACACATTGAACTACTTAAAAATCATAACATGTTATTAAATATAAAACTAGCCTACTACAAACTACTGTAGCCTATTGCTTGCGATATCTCGTGCATCATACTTGCAGGCAACGCGTGGCAAGTCGCAGCAGCACTAATTATGTGCCCGGCAACATATTCCTCCTTCTAACGACGTGTAGGGAACAGCAAGTGGTGGTTCATAGCAATATTTTCTTAAAGTGTAAGCACATTAGCACTGATTTGTGCTGAACTTCGTAGTTGAGTTTTCATAATGGATTCTGCTATTTTCCTGTTAATCACTTTGAAGCTGTTTTGACACAATCTGTATTGTATAAAGTGCTACACAAATAAAGGCGACTTGACTTGGCAGTGCCATACCATCTTCCATTAGCATGAGGAAATTCATGCCGTAGTGGGGCATATGGGGCAGTTTGACCAATAAGATAAGCCTCTAACATAAGCCATGTCTGAATGAAATATAGAAGTCATAAACCAATTTGTAGAAACAAAGAAAAACTGTGAAATTAAGTGAATTGTCATTTTCCCATTGTAAAAAACAAAGCAAAAACAATATGTTTTTTCATTTCTCATTGTTACTTTCCAAATAGGAAAATAAAAGGGCAAAGCATACACAGACTGTGTGGACACACCTTTTGGCAAAGGTTGATTTCATAATATCATGAAATCTGTACTTCTGTCTGTACTTCTTCTTCTTTTTCCATAGTGGCAAGAAGTGGAGGAGTACCTGGGTCTTGGAGGAAGCTATGCAGTAGTTACTGTAGGGCAATACAGTCTTGTTTAAATTCATACACAAATTATGTCAATAGATATTAATAAATAAAGTATGTGTACTAATTGTGCTTCTATACATTTGGTTAGCACTATTTAAACAATCATACAGTGTATCCTACAATAAAGTTTTATTTGTGGCGTGTTGTATGTAAGTGTGGTGAATATTGTGTATTGAAGTATAAAATAATTTGATAATGTCCTGAGATATACAACTTAGTTTTTTTTATTTCTTGATTGATTTTAAAAAAAAAAAAATAAAACAATATAGAAACGTTTACCATGAATTTTTTTTTTTACTTGAGACATTTTTTGTCGTCATATTAATGACAATTGGGACAATAATGCACCAACATTTTATAACAATGTGTTGTGGCAAATACAGTAAATATGTCAAATTTCAGTTACATGAAAGTGCTTAAAATGGCACTTTTGGCACAACTTGAATGATCAACATGGATCCTATACAATCAAGAGCATGTAGGTTCCAGCAGTTGGGGAAGAGCATGGAGATGGAGAAGTATTTTTTTTATGAACTAGGCCTTTGAAATCGGTTCAAAATTGCCTAATTTCACACAGTTCTTGAAATTAATTTAGCTGAATAATTAAACAGAGTTGCTATACACTAGAATTTGAATTTGTCTCGTATATGAACTGCAGCATTCTCTTATTTTTACAGTATTGTTATAAGTTTATTACTGTGAGAGTGATTGCTTTGAAACAATCTATTGTATAAAGCACTATAAAGATAAGGGTGACTTGATTTCTGTTAACTGTATTGTAAGGGTGGATTTCCTGCAGGGGTTCAGGCTGCAAGACTGCCGAATGACTAAAGAAACGTTATTAGCAGGATGGTAGAAAACTACATTTCTTGTCTATTCCACCCACTGCTACTTATACCAGTGTCAGAAAAGTCAATACCAAATCAAAACTAGTTAGTACACTATTTGGAATTGTAAAAGTTTAATGACAACATATGGTTATGGTTACACTTAAAGTAGTTACAAAATAGATGTATGAGATGATAACTTAAACCATTAATTGTACCCAGCATATATGAAAAATGTTACCTGAGAGAGAGAGACAAAGAAAAGAAGAGGCAAAGGAAGAGATCCCCAAGAAAGGGACCCAGAGAATAAGAAGAGAACCAGAGCATAAAAGTGACAATCAGACAATTACAACTTCCCCCATTGTTTTAAAGGTGACAATTCATAGACCCCCAAAGTACACACATCTGGGCCTACAGGCCTTGATCACTATCAGCCCCTCTGTGTCTTTGGGATCTCCAAATGGTCCTTGTGGTAGAAAGAGGGGGTGGAAAACAATAAAAACAAATGTCTTTGTTCATTTCAAATATCTTGGATTATTTTTAATCCTACAGGGTAATGACAATTTCTTGCAGGATCACCCATTGCCACTGTTTAAGAAACAAAGAAATATAAAGAGATAATCAATTTGTAGCCTATATATTCATTGTTTACAAAATACATGTTCCCTCTATATGCTCATGATTAAGCTATCTGTCCCAGACACCACAGATGTTATCTGTTCAATCTTTTATCCTCAGGTTGACCCCGCTCTGGGCTGGGCGTTGTTCTGTTCCTTATGGCCAACTATAACTAAGAATCAAGAGTGGCCTACATAACCTTCTGCACAGTAATAACCAGACAGACTCTAGACAATGCCTTTGACATATATTATATAATGCTTTAATATAAATGACACAGTTTCATATACACAATGAGTAGAATACACGTCGGTTTAGTGTCCTTACACCCCTGGGGGCCCAGTAGTGTCCCATTGAAGAGCCAGAAATTTCACTTTTTAACTGGCTATTAATCAAAGTCTGATTTGTGTATTTAAAAAGAAACTTGGCAAGACAAATAGAAAACTATGCTTGCTAAATAATGTTGGACACAGTTGCCAGACATGTATGAAAAGGTGGTATAAATGTGTTCTAAAAAGTGTGTACAGTAAAATACTTAATTGCATCATAGCTCTCATATATCTTACAGAAGTTTGTCCAATTAACATATTTATGAAAATAATTTCTTCATAAAGGATATAGATTATTTAATTGAATCCCTACGAATTTAAAACTACCTTACCCATAAGCCCCTGTCATTCCACCACTGGAAAGGGAAAACGTTGCGCTGATACTTGTAGTTCTTTGAAGTGTGTAGTTAGGCTTAGGGTTAGGATCTCGGTAAAGGGACAATTTCCTTATAACACAACAACGCATTATTGTTAACTGACTATATTATTGCTGTAATAATAACAGCAAAACGTACTTTGGAGCACGAACCTCTTTTTAAAAGGGGTTTAAAGACAACACAGCCAGAGAGTCATGCTGGTGCTGGGCAGCCAATGACAACCCAGTTTAACAGGGACGCCACCCTTCCTTGTCCATATATGGTCATTTTTGACAGGATCTCCCGGCTTCATTTGAACTTATAGGTTTCTATCATATATATGATAATATAAAAATCGATAAAAAAAAAAAATCAGTTAAATATATTTCTTTCCATTACATATTATAATATAAATTAACTTTTTGTGTTTAACCTGACCCCCCCCCCCCCCCCCCCAGTAATAATAAATACAGTACATGCATTTTTAGACATCTACAATTTAAACATCAAAGTTTTATAGATATAATTTTTATTTGTGACAGAGAATATAAATATACAATGACATGTTGATAAAACATTGTGCAGAGGATCATGAATTGTAAATGATTATTTTTTAAATAGTGAGTAAAATAACAATAATGAGTGCAATACTAGTAATGTTTTACAATGTCAATTATGAATTTTATTATACAAAAATAATAACTTAACTGTAGAATCACATATTTGCATGTGTCTCTTGTTTCATCACGTAACAAAGACAGTAGAGATTTAATGGAAATGAAATGACAGTATACACTTGATGTTCAGGGTGTGTTAAGGGTATCATGTGTTAGCCACATTATGTCAAAACATGATCATTTGAGAAAACAGGTTTTTAATATAAGTTTTAACAAACAAACATAAAACATTCAGCAGTCTTTGATCTTAGATAACTTTCCACAAGTTATTTCAACACCTAAAGGATCTAATACACATTGCAACTTTTGGCTAGATGTTTGTGTCGATTTGAAGTCTGGACAAGTTGGCGCACGCTAGTTGCCAAAAGTCAGAAGTTTTATAATCTGTTCAGATTCAAAAAGATATTGTGTACTAGTGTATTCCATCCTCAGTGCAATAAAAGGCCATGGTGAGAAGGTGAAATCCATTGAAAACCAGCTTGTCGTGACTGATATTAAAATACTGACCAAATGGAGAAAACATTAGAGCAAGTTCACCAGAAGACAGAGTGGACACTTTATACTGACTGGGAAAACAAATCCTCTTCATCTCCATCCTCCTCCTCCTCCTCCTCCAAACCATACTGGATATCCTCCTCATTCATGTAATCATCTTCTTTCAGCTCACAATTGTCTAGTACACTACTGTACAGCTGACGAACAGAGGAGATGTGACTTTTGAGGTAGGATAGTCTTTTCATAAGTAGAGAGTGAAGTCCTAGTATTCCACTTTCAGAAAATTCACAGTCCTGTTCTGCAAGTAACACAAAAACCACAAAATAAATTGTGTCATTTTAATGAAGTAGTGTTCTGTAGTAATTGTCTGCTGAATATACAGCATCAATTAACTTATTCACCAGTGCAGGGCAGCAGTTATGGCAAATACAGTTAAAGAGCATGATATTGTAGATATACTGTGTTGTTGATGTTATTATTGCTTACACAAGATGAACAGGAAATTATGTAGTACTTACTGTTTTTTTTTATTTCAATAGCAATATGGCTTGAATGATCATTTAGAACAGAATGTTCTCTTTTGAGGCTTTTCCAGTGATTTTTGATCTCTTTTAGGACAATGCACTCCTCTTCGGTAAGGCGGTTCAGGAGCATCAGTTGGTCAAAGGCCTTTTTTTTGGTGATAAGATTATCTGTGAAGATGTTTACAAATATAATGCAAGGAATAGTGCATCAGTTTACTTTGTAAAAAGTCTGTTAAATATATTAATGATAAATTAATCAACAGTTTATATTAGAGACTATATTACATTTCATTAATGACAACTTTCAAAATAAGTTTTTAGAATACTGATAGATATAATGGATAAGTTATAATGGGTAAGTTACTGCATTTGGTCATGAGGGACTAGATATCCGTAAACTGTTGCAGAGCAAGTAATAACTTGGTACAGCTGAGGCAAATGGTGATGCACAAGAGCATAAACAATATCCACTGTAAGCAGATAGGTCAATACATATATCAGAATTTAAATAAATAACAACAAGAGGTACCACGCTCATCCAGTAGCCATGGCCATGCATAACTCTCAGATGCCAGAATTGCATCAGCTGACTGCAGTTTTTCAGGTGCAGCCTTGTTGTATTCATCTACAGCTGCACTAAGTTTGGCTTTTTCCTCCAAAATCTTTCTGCGGAGTTTGTGTCTTCTCTTGTTTCCATCTAAAAAGACAAAAGCATGCCATAATATGTTCTATTTAGACTTAAAAAAAAAGTTATATAAAGACAATTGTTTTTTATTTAAATATGTATTTTGCATACTGCTTTCTCATAATTAATGTTTGAAATACATAACACATTTATTTTTTTCCCCCAAAGTTCTTGAGTTTAGTACTATCCAGGGTCTCACTATTATAAAACAATGCAACCTAATGTTGAAATTGTTAAAAGCTTTAAAATTATTTAATGTTTAAAGTGCTCTAACCTGTTTGACGGTAAAGGTTTTGCTTCCTCTGCCTGATGCTCACATAAAGCGTCTCAATCACCTTCTGCAGCCCCTGTTGACTGCCTGTGTTCTCCTCACTTGTTGCTAAATTATTGATATATTATTGATATTATTGATATACTTTTAACGATAGAAATAAAAATGTACATTTAGGATTAAATCAGAAGTATAAGGATGAAGGTTAAATTCAAGTATAAACAGAAAAATCATACAGTTTTTTTTAAAAGTATTGTGCTATGGTAATCTAAAACATGACTACCTGTATCAGCCCACTGCTTGATTTCATTAATCCAGCTTTGAAGCTCATCATCCGTTACAGCCAAATCTGCCTTCATTGCATCAAGGTTTAAGGACTCCTCCTGAATTTTTGCTTTTGTCTAATGAATAACAAAACAGCATTAAGTGCATTTATTAAAACATTAAAAGTACTGACAGATGCATACATGATTAATGAACATGGGCATGGAAAACAGCATAAAACGATTTTATAAGTAGCAAAGGTTTTGAGTTTCTAGTGTTTGTTCTATACCACGTACCTACTTGTTTGCACTACAAACTGCAATAGACATAATTAAACACAAAAAAATAGCTTTCATTAAAGTATACCTTCATTAGTCTTCGGGACAGCACTTTTGATAGGTTCTCAATTTTGCGTTGGTTCCATGCCATGGCCTGGATAGTAATAATGTCTGTTCTAGCTAGACAATACATGATAAAAAAAAATCAATAGTGTTAAAAAATCAATTAATGTTACTATTTTCATGTTTTGATTTATTTAAAATGCAAATATGAAAATAGCCTTGGACTTGCGCTAACACCTCTGGGCATGGATACAGGATCAGGCAAAAGTTTAATACTAATGCCATTCAAAAACTAATGTATTTTGTGTGTACCTTTAACTTATATTTGGTAACTTTCTATTGTATGTTTGCAGCATACCCTTACCTCCTTTGGTCATGTATTTGCTGCATATAGCAGTTCTTGACAAGAAGCTGTTCACTTGTTCGACCTCTTCACCCAGGGTGGTGCCTGCTCCATCTTGGTTTCGACCACCCCACTTAATCTTGTGCATGGATCAAATATTTAACAGGGTTAAAATAATCTCAAAAATGTGCTTTGGAATATAAGCATCAATTACTGAAAATAAATACTGAAGTCAAATTAGTATTTTTATTTTCTGGAAAACAGTTTACCTCACATTTCCAAGAGTGGGCCTTAGCATGCATTACTGACAGAAATGGCTTCATGTCCAGGAGAGGAGAGAGCTCTGGACAATCACTAACAACTCTCCGCAGGTATGGCCAGTACTTGCATATTACATCAGTGCACATGAACTGCACATTCTTTGGAGTCAACTCCTTTTGCAGAAACATGGGATATGCAAATATTTCTCCCCTCATCATGTTGAGACTTCTCAAAAGCACACCATGTCGACAGACAGCCACCTCCATGCCCTCCTCATCCAACTTGTTGGTTTTCTTGGGGACGGACTCCCGTGCTGCAGTCCACTGACTCGTTCCACAGACACCCTTTCCAACTGACTATCAAGATGAGAACAAAGTAAAAGAAAAACAATGTGATGATTTAACAACACAGTATTAAATCACCTATATGGATAAATGTCTAAATAAAGATGTGTAAATATATGTCAGTCTGTTGGCATTTTTTTTTTTACACATTTCTCAAATTGCCACAAGTGAATTTTTGCTTTACTGCAATTTCAAGCCATACAAGATGGCAAAATTTTACCATTCAATGCATTGTTCTTAATTTTGCTATTGTAGTTAAGTGAAAATTTGCATTCCTATTGTTTTTAGGATATACAGTACAATTTTAAAGATAAGACAAAACAGCAATACAACTTACATGCTTTGTCTTTTCATGAATGTAATCCACAAACTCAGAAACTTCTTCATCCTCACAGACAAAGACACCCTTAAACAAGCCGTGATCTTCATCCCTTGAAAATAATCCGAAGGGCTTCATTGAATTATCTAATGAAAAACTAACTGGAATAAAATATTATTTTGAAATGCTTTTTGAAAGACAGATATATGTAACTTCCCCTACCCTCTTTTGAAGCGATACATTTTCCTGTTACCATCTACTGCCACAGCCAGCATAAATGGAGAACAGGCTGGACAGTCAAACACTTTCAGTCCACAGAGCTGATCGATTTCGAACTGGCAGTATCTCCATTCGAAAAAACTCCTTTGAAAAGCATCTGCGCATATCTTTCCATTCTATAAAACAAAATCAAAAACCATATAAGAAATAGCTCACTCCCAAAAAAGAAAAGATAAATAATTTGGTTATTAATTAAATTAATACTCGGCCAAAGAACTCTGTCCGCTGTTCTAGTAAACTGGTGAAGGACTGTCTAGACATTCCAGGAGCAGTCAGTTTCATGTGGTCATAGGACACAAACACATCTATTTTATATAGCGTTTCACAGCTTGCTGTGGCAGGCCAGTAACCAGACTTGATCAGTTGCGGGATGCTGGTTGTTCTGCTCACAAGACATTTTGGACAAGTGAAGTGTGGCAAGCTGACATTGTAGCGACCTATTGAAATAACAATGTATTTATAATGTATTTGTAATATAACAAAACAAACAATCATTAAAATATTTGTTTTTTGTTTGTTAGTTTTACACAAGACTCACCATCGATTCCTATGAGAATGGCCCTTTTACCTTCTGACACCTCAATGGAATCAGTGGCACATTGGCACATTTGCTCAGGTACCTCAAGAGGCAAAAGGCAATCTAGAAAAGAAAAATTAAGTTACAATAAATAAAATTGTTTTATTATTATTATTATTATGACTACATGGAAATTCACATGATAGATTCTAAGGTTTTATAATTCTGAAAAAAAAGAACTACATACTTTTTTCTTCAAAATGGAATTGGCCACCTTCATTATCCACCTTCACCAAAGTTGTTGGGGATAGGGGCTGCAAGAATCCTTTCACATCTGTCTCTCGGTTGTGAAGTTTCCTTTCATGGGCCAGTATATCACAGTCTGCACAGTACAGCTGTTTAGGAATGCAGTCCTTACAGCGGATAATAGACCGCTTCAGTCTGCAGTGCTGGCATTGCTGGATCTCTGTATACTCAGCCGTCAATAAAGACTCCACTATCTCTGGCCTCAAAGCTGCCCACTTCTTTTTACTCTGGGCCATTCGAATAGACCAAGTGTTGGAGGAAGACGGATTTACGTACAGAATGTCTTCACTCTCAGCTAGCAGATCCTCTACCTCTTGATGAAGAGTTTCTGTATGCGAAAAAACGAAATACAATTATAATGTACAGTACATGACAGTTGGTTAGATTGATAATTACAAACCAGTAATGACACAATAATACACACCAATATCTTCAACAGCTGGCCAAACAGTGCGAGCAGACAGTGATGGACTTTCACCTGAGAACAATGAGACATAACAATTAATAAACAATAACTCTGCATGATTTGTGAAAATTGTTGGTGTTATTACTCTCACCATGATCAATGTATCCTTGCACAGACTCCAAAGAAGATGTACTAACTGAATTGTTGATCTTTGTTGCTATAAATATAGATACAGTACAGGCAAATTATAGTACTACACATTATCAGAGGAGAAACCCATATGAACTGCTAGAATACATTGTGCAAATTATAGCAGACATACCATTTTTTTTTTTGCCTTTGTAGATTTTGTCCTTCTCCGTTTAGGCACAAGATGCCCATACTCATCCCTCTCCACAAAAGAGAACGGCTTGAGAAGAGTGCCACGGGCTCGTTTGGTCTTTTTTTTTCTGCTGGAAAAAAAATAAATAATAGAAAATTGGAAATAAAAATGTTGAAAGAAATTGTTGAAATGATTGAAAGCAGGGACTTGGAAATCTACTAACAGATAATAATAATAAAAAAACATTTATTAAAGCAACTTAATGTAAATAAAAAAAGTAACTAAATGAACAAGAAAACTAATGTAATTAAAATTACCAGTGGAGGATTAAACGTTTGTAGAATTTGTTCAGCCTCTCTGGTAGCTGCTTCAAGTTCAGCATTGTCAGCTTTGATTTCAAGATCCCTTGAAATAATTCCAGCTTCCTGACATAATTGGTCAAAACCCGATGACATTTGACAAGATGCCATATTGAAGAAAAGAAGAGGAAAAAATAGGCAAAGAAATATTGAAAGACAGACAGAGAGAGAGAGAGAGAGAGAGAGAGAGAGAGAGAGAGAGAGAGAGAGAGAGAGAGAGACAGTGAGAGAGAGAGAGAAGTGTGTGTGTGCGTGTGTGGGGTTGTGTGTGTGGTTGTGTGTATGGTTGTGTGTGTGGTTGTGTGTATGGTTGTGTGTAAGAGTAGGAGAGCTTTAGCAAGTGATGGCTCTTAAAAGAGCCGTTGGTTTAAATGTTGTGGAGCGTGTAGAATAGATGGAGGAGTAGTATGGGATGTATGTGAAGTAACTGAAAGACAAAAAAAAAAGAAGTGAATTACAACTTTTGGATATTTTGGGGGGATTCTTTATTTATTAAACATTTTATGTGTATAACTATTTACAACAACGGCCAAGGTCCGCCCACAATCATAAAACTAAATTAATAATATGACAATACAAAGCAAAACTGTGAAAAAAAAGGAGGAAGGATATCAAAGTCTCAAGATTTCTGAATTGTACATAAAATGTATTAAAAGTATGGTAAGTGTTGTTGTAACTGTGTGGGCTGAACTAAATTACTATGGTAAAAGCAAGGTTTGCTGTAACTTACAGTACTCCAAAATACCACAGTAGAAATAGGCTAACCGCGGTAAAAACATGGTAAGATTTGTCTACTATAAACACAAAATACCACAGTACAGTGGTAGTTACTTCCATTAATTCCAAAAATACGAATATAATAAAATAATCGAAGATCTAACGTTAGCTATCACGTTATGTGAATCCGGATGCTAACGTTAATCACCCGCTAATCACCAGTATAATGTGTTGGGAAATTATTTTGAACAACAATAAAGTAATATTGATGACCAATTGAATGCAGAGAACATTTAGAAGTCAAACTGGATTAATAAAGAACATATATAATACACTTTATATCGATCACCAAGCCACCGTGTGATAAATACTCACCGAGATGTTGCGCGTAAAACTGCTGATAAATATCGCGATGTTCTGCGAACGAGAATTGGGTGACTGTTCTTGAATGCGATGAACAAAATCGTAGGATATAGTACGATTAAATATATTCGTATGGTTTAGTACGAATTCGCCGTTACATGGGGTATGTTAAATGCGATGAACAAATCGTACGATTTCGTACGAGCCAGCTCGTATGATTTCGTACGAAATAGCCACTTGGTTAAATCGTGCGAATTAGTACGAATTCGCCGTGAGATAGGGTTGGTTAAACAGACAGCTGGTACTTTTGACACCCTTCTCTTCAAAGATGCTGTCTCCGTGTCATACATATCCGTGACCTTCTGGGCTAGTGCCTTCCTACTTGGAGGAATGTAGGAGGGGTTGAGTGCATGTGAATATTTTTTTAATCCTGTGTCCTCCACTATTGAGAAAGGCTGGAAGTCAGTGGCTATCATCTTTGCCAGCTCTTCGTCTATCTTCTCCTGTCTTAATGGGGTCAAGACAGGAGGTAAATATTGACTGATGGATGTCTGCTTTCTTTTTGGTCGTGTGGTGGGTCCAGTGGGGTCAGAGGCTGCTGTGGCTGCAGTTGCACTTGATGTGGAGGCAGAGGAGGCAATGGACACATCAGTGTCACTGTTGTTGTCTGAGTCTGGCTCTGCTCTCAAACCTGTGAGCTGCAGTGTTGGGTGTTGAGTCTTCAAATGCCTGTGTAAATTATTTGTTGACCCAGACTTAAATGAAATTACTTTTTGACAAATGCTGCATTTAGCCTTACTGTTTTCTTCGTGAGAAAAGTGCACCCAAATGCTGCTCCTTTTCCTCTGGCTCATTTTCAGACGTGTCACGTGTGTGTCTTCTTCCTTCGAACGACCCGCTATCCGCTATGACGTTGGCACTGAGAGAGAGGCACTCGCACGTGTATTTTTTTTTATTTATTTTTTTACTGGAGTAACCATGTGACGGCAGCGTGCACAAGTCATTGGCTCCGCTCCTACCCAATGACAGAGGCACGTAGGGGTTTTTTCCACTGGAGTACTCACGTAAAGGATGTGCGCACTGCGCGCGTGCACAACTGACAACTATCATCATGCTGTTAGGCAGTAGCACCCCTGCGCTGGGTGCGCCCCTTCCCCTATAACTGAGGAGCTAATTTGTGTGCATCTGTGTGAAACACGCATAGGAAAAAAAAAACGACAGAAAGAACGGCTCCCCTCCAGCCGGGACTCGGCTCCCATCGTTCATGTTTATGAGCCGTTCAAAAGAATCGGTTCGTTCGCGAACGTCACAACTCTAGCAACCATGATCATGCCAAAAAGTAGCCTACAGTATTTACTTACCGTATTTGTTCCTCAGGCTTCCCTAACGTGATTGGTACCATGGACTGCACACACGTCCCCATCAAGGCCACACCTGGCCCCAATGAAGGGGATTTTGTGAACCGAAAGGGATTTCACAGTTTAAATGTGCAGGTAAGTTACTATTACGATTCTTAATATTCCAGATTAGAAATATATTTAAAAAAAATAAAAAGTAATGTAATCTAAAAGTATGTAGTTGACTGATTACAAATATTTTAGTTGGTGTGTGACTCCGTGTTCCACATCACAAATGTGGAAGCCAAATGGCCTGGTTGTGTGCATGACTCCAGGATTTTCAGAGAATCACATTTATGCACATTTTTTGAACGTGGTAAGGAAAAAATTAATTTCAAACTCACTGTATTACATAATTTTATTCTGAGCCTAACAAAACTGCATTTTTCCAGGTGCATAGGACGGGATCCTGCTTGGTGACTGGGGCTATGCCTGCAGGCAGTACTTCATGTCGCCATTCCCTGACCCAAACCCCGGAGCACAAACCCGTTTCAATACACCTCTAGCCAGGACAAGGAAACGCATTGAAATGACCTTTGGGCAACTAAATGGAAGATTTCAGTGTTTGAAGGGTCTGAGGGTTGCACCTGACAGGGCCTGTGTGTGACATTATTGTTGCATGTGCCATCCTCCACAATATTGCCACCATCAGAAAGGAGAGGACCCCTGTGGTGGAAGTGCAGCCTGATGAGGACCTCCAGCCAGTGCACTTGGACCAACCTAGTGGCAGAGCTGCACGGGACAGAATTGTGGAACACCATTTTATTTTTATTTTTTTTATTTTTTTAACACACATAAACCTTCATTAAATTAATAATAGAAGACAAGACAACATGCTTAGTTCATTGAGTTTTATTTCAATTATTGTTTCTCAAGAAAAGCCAGTGATGTTCATCTTTTGCCTGCAATAATATATATTGTTATGAAAGGTCAGCAATAGTACTCTTTGTGAAAAATAGTGTTTTAGCACTTACTCTTAAGTTCCTTTTGAAGCAACTCAATCTCTAGTGCCAGTTTTTTCTTCTTTAAGGTGTCAAGTTCTATTTCTCCCCTTAATTTTTGTTTTTTAAGATCAAAATACTACATTTTCTGGTGAAGATTCTGTTTATATAGGGTACGGATATCACCCTGTGCCATTAAAAAAAAAAACACACACAAGCCTCATGCAACAGAAATAAAAAGGAAAAGTAGACTGGCCACCTCTGTATCACTTTGTGCTGTAGGTAGGCAGAGTAAGGAGGAGTTAATTACCTGAGTAATGTGTTCGGCCTTCACAAAGCAACTAACACCCACCTGGAAAACCATGACATACTCCTTGAGAATAGCCAGCACACCCATGTAGATGCTGAGCCGTAGGACTGTTGTCGTCTCCTCATGCCACAGCTTCTGACATACCCTCTTTTTTCTTTCACGGCCTTGTGGAGTCATGCCTGTGAAAGATGAATTAATGTAAGTGTAAAACACAATACATATTCCTCCTCCTTAGTAACTTCATAACAAGTTTAAGTGCTAATTATTATAAGGGATTGGAACATCAAGTCTCATCACCTTTCCTGTTGAGTTCCTCCTGAACCACCTTGATACTGGCTCTTGCCGCCTGGTTGACCTGGTACTTTGTGTACATCAGTTCCAAAGGCGTCCTATACAGCTCATATACCTATACAGAGGTAGCCATAATAGAGGACTTTGTACGCAGGCGTCATGGTATGGGTTGCCACGCTGGCATCGTATGCAGACAGCCAGCGATGAGTAACAAAGCCCCTCTGTGGGATGGAGGCGTGGAGATTCAGAATCATAGCTATCTCCTTGAGGTACATCACCTGACAAAAGACATAAAAAGATTTTCAAAGAAACACATAGACATTCTACACATTCCATAGTTTTACCACAGTACAGTACAGTAGGGTCAGCAGCCGTGGTCTAGACTAGAGCTGACAAATTCAGGTTATACCAAATTCACATACGTGGAGTGTGCTACTATGAGTGCTCAACAGAGGGCAGTAAAGCGCTGTAGTGTCAAATGTGCTTGGCATTTTGTTTACCTGGGCCCGTATGTATAAA